ATATTGCAATTGATGAGCAATTAGCGTGGCATTGCATGGTTGCACCTGTACAAATGAGTGGAAGAAGGAGTCTTTTGCTTAGATTAGGCTACCAAGGAAGGGAAAAGCACAACAAGGACTAAAATGCTCGGACTTTGGTAATGCATGCACTTGGACGTGAGTATGGGTTTAAACATTGCATGGTTATTTGGGATGCTATGGGAAGAGTTCCATGTGCTTGTAAATTGATATGATTGCATGGTTATCTTAAGTGGATGACAATTATCAAAGTGTGGCTTTGCTCCCTTGGAATAATATTCATAGGAATATTATTTATTTCAATTGGATACTCCAAGTCACGTCAACAACTTCACAGTGTGTTCATCAAGGCATGTCCCTATAAATACAAAGCGGCGGATGACATTTGGAGCCCCCTCTAATTCAACACACAACTGCCCTACGCAACACATCTTCCGTTTGGATAAACAGCACTGTGAAGGCAACTGGCGAACATCTTCTGTTTGGATAAACAACATTGTTGCTGTAGAATCAGCCGACCAAGGAGCACCTTCAGTTTGGATAAACAGCACTACGTCGAGGCCAACTGGTTACCTATCCAAGTCTCAGTCGAGAAGGGTTTCGGAATCCTTGTTAGCAAAGGTCATCTTATTAGCCTTCTCGGCGAAGTGAGGTGTTACAAGTTACTGCATTCGGCGCATTGAACGCCGAGTGGTTTTATGATTGGATACTCACAAGTGAGTTTCAGAGTTCGGTATTTTGACAGTCGAACCACATTTACCATCAAGACATACATCTCTTTTGAGTACCTATGTCCATATAATTTAGAGCCGGTTCGACGTACTTATACTCTTACAAATATAATCATCGTGACCGAACCCGACGCCGATGATTCATGAACTTCGTAGAACTAGCAGCCTTATCTTCAGGCTCAAGAACCCGAAGGCCGAGACGTGTTCCTTCCTCAATCGTAGTTGCAAGATCAAGAAATCAGTAGCGCGTTCAACGCAACATCAGCAAATTTTACTCCTAGGCCGAGCTCGGCCAACGAGTTGGCACACCCTGCATCAACCGAAGGACATAGTTAGCTCATTAGTTACTTGGGCTGCGCGCCACGTGGGCTTTGTAATTTTTAGGGTCACAAATATAAAACAAATTATTAAGAAAATCAACCACAAGGGATTGAGAATACTTGATTTGATTAAACACAGTGGGCATCAACTCAATGTGTTGGTTCGTATTTGACAATGACACTGTGTGATTGAGGTTCAACAGTTGTAATGGTTTTTGTTTCTTCATTTTAATCTCTACCTCCATCTGCCCTTTAAGAATTTGCCAAACTTTGAATTGCCACAATAAATAAATAAAAAGGAATTGAGCCAGAACCGAACCAAAAACAACTGAACCAACCAAAAACGATACCGAAAAAAACCGATAGAAAACCAAATGGAACAGTAATTTCTGTTCAGTTTTCGGTTTTGGCCAAAAACAAAACTGAATGGAACCGAACCCACCCTACCTTGCATAGCTTCCAGAATGGTCAACACCAAGGATTCATATCTAATCCATCTAATTAACATGGTGTACACGATAGCCCCTCTTCTCTCACTCTTTGCGTACCTATCCAAGATCAACTGGATATCCTTGAGGTAAGTACTAACTTTGAAAGAACTAAACCTGTTCATGTATAGACAAAACCAAGGAAAGCCACCAACATGTACTCTCTGGAGGGAAATGTGCGATATTCAATTGCACATTATGTCCTTACTATGCATTAGTCCAAAAGATGGAAGATATAAAAATACCCACAAGAGTAGAGAACCCCTTGAAGGATCTGAAGTGGATAGAGGCAATGCAGTTGAAATGGAGGCTTTGTAAAGAAACAATACATGGAAAGTGACGCCGCAAAGAACCGATGGGTTGTAAATGGGTGTTTACCATTAAACACAAGGTAGATGGAACTATTGATAGATACAAGGCAAGGATGGTGGCAAAGGGATACACGCTAACTTTTAGTGTTGATTATCAGGAAGTCTTTGCTCCAATTTTTTAGAGTTCTATTGTCTTTGGTGGCTCACTTTGATTGGTCTTTGAGACAATTTGATGTAAAAAATGATTTTCTACATGGAGATTTAGAGGAAGAAGTATTCATGGACTTTCCACTAGGGTACGGTATAGCAAACTCTAGTGGGAAGGTGTGCAAACTTCGGAAAGCATTATATTGCCTTAAGCAGCCACCTAAAGGGTGGTTTGGGAGGTTCAATCAAGCTATGAAAAAATATGGATACTGACAAGGAAATTCTGATCACACTTTATTCATCAACTGTAAGGATGGTAAAGTGACTTTGCTTATCATATATGCGGATGACATGATTGTCATAGGCAAATACAAAAGAGATGGAAAGACTACAAGGATACTTGTCTTCTGAATTAGAGATGAACGACTTAGGAGGACTCAAGTATTTCCTGGGAATCGAAGTGGCTCGGTCTCGTGAAGGGATATGCTTGTCACAATTCAAGTACGTATTGCACCTCTTATCTAAAATAGGTATGATGGCGTGTAAGCCAGCAGATACACCAATTATGCAAAATCGTCATCTTGCCATCTTATCAAGATCAAGTTCCAACCAATAACGAGATGTATCAAAGGTTAGTGGATAGATTAATTTATCTGTCACTTACTCGACCAGATATCACTGATGCAGTGAGTATAGTCAATTAGTTTATGCATGCTCCGAGTGAAGACCATATGGCAGCAGTAATACAAATTATGAGTTACTTAAAATGAGCTCTAGGGAAGGGGTTAATGTATAGAAAATGTGGACATATGGAAGTAAAATGGTACATTTATGCAAATTGGGCAGGGAATATCGCTGACCGGTAGTCTACATCATATTACTTCACATTCGTAGCTGGAAATCTTGTGACCTGGAGAAGTAAGAAATAAAATGTTGTGGTGAGGAGCAAATGCCAAGTACAAGGGAATGGCTCATGGTATTTGTGAGCTTTTGTGGCTGCGAATTCTTCTTACTGAGATAAAGTTCAAACCCGAAAGGTCTATGATGTTGGATTGTGATAATCAAGCAGCAAGAAAAATAGCTAACAAACTTGTACAACATGATAGAACCAAGAATGTGGAGGCAGATAGAACTTTCACCAAAGAGAAGCTAGATGTTAAGTTGGTTGATTTTCCATTTGTTAAGACAAGGGAACAACTTGCGGATATCTTAACACATGCAGTCTTGCTAGAAGGTTTTGTGACTCACTTGACAAGTTAGGCCTAGGAGATATCTACGCACCAACTTGGGGCAATGTCGACGTGAGTCATCAATCAATTAGTTTTGGAATGTATCTTGTACTCTACTATTAGAGGGGATTCCTAAATTAGAGGGGATTCCTTCCTAATTTAGGTTGAACTCTACTATATAATTTCTTGTACCACAAGTTGTGGATGTATATATTGCCTCCGTATTAAAGAGATAATACAAGCAGAACTAACTAAATATACGATCTTTATCTGTTTCCTCCTCGTTGTCCTCTTTCATCGAAAAGGTTTAGCATGTCTGTTTTGGTTGGCACCGGACATAATACATGGTCTGGACTATATGTTATCTCATCGGTGGCAGACTTTGTTATTGTATTGGGTTTGTTGGATATCTTCTACATAAACCTGTACAGTATATCCGCATGGTGATACAAAGGGTTTCTGTTGCTACTCTGTATGGTTATAAGTGTGGTTATCTTTGGGGTCTTGTGGTTGGTTTATGACATCTTTGGGAGAGAAGAACTTCAACAGAGGAACAATGTGGTGACAATAGGTCATATATATGCAAGGCAGGGCATGAAGAAACTGGTGGACTCCATGATTTCGATTCACACCAAGAAAATCTTTCGAAGTTAGCCAGCATTTGTTATGGTGCAAGACCAAACTTCAAAGGTATGCCTTATAAGATTATGAGTATGAAACGTATGTTGGGACCAGTTGTATTTGAGATTGATGTAGAAAAGTCTTGATTAAAAACTATTAGTTATCCCAAGTATTTTGGGATAACAGAATTAAGAGTGATTCAATCCTTTTGGGATTGGAACTTAGTGCTAGGACTCTACTAAACTCATAATTCATTATGGTTTGTATAGTTTAAATCCTAGATTAATTCTGATAGGGAATAATCAGAGGAATATATATAAAGCTCAAACCACTGCTCTTGCAATCTCTCGGCTTATTATTGTTCCAAGTCCTATTGATTGGAAGAGCTATTGTTTTTGTTAAAGAGGAGAAGGTTTTGAGCACAAAGACCTGCAATGGCTTCATCATTAGGATCGAATTCTGCAAGTGTTTAAGGTTTTCATTCTAAGGCTTTCTTATTGATTGATTTGTACAAGTTGTGATTTGATTGGTTGAATCTACATTCTTCGTTTAAGAGGCTATAAACTTGTTCTTACATGCCTCCCTCCTTGAAATGTCGGATTTAGTTTTTAATACACGTGTACTGCAGCAACAATGACGTATATTTCTCCAGATGCAAAAGACCGACGCGAGAAATTTGTTCCAATTTAGTACATGTTCTGATTACTTTTTATCGAATGCAGAAATTTTTGGAACCATATCCAAGGATTGTGGTCACGTTGATGTGGGTGTCATTGTTTGTGGTCCTCCAAGTCTTGAATCAAGTGTCTCCAAAGAGATCAGGTCACACAACTCAAGGAGACAAGGCGACGATCCCATCTTCCATTTGAACAGCCACAGTTTCGATCTGTAGCCGTAGCTGTAGCTGTAGCCTCCACATACAAATTTATATGGTTCTACATAATGTATATTCTATATTTATAATCTAATGTAGTCCTCTTATTTGACTATATTATGCTGTATGCGTAATCAGTGGCGGATCCAAGATTTTAAACTCGGGGGTCCCAATAATAAAGGTTAAAAAATTTATAGACAAAAATAACATTGAAAAGTTAAATATAATACATTTTATTCAAAAATCATTTGCATAACAATATTACAAGCTATAAAATCCTAATTCAAGCGTCCACGACGAGGTTTCATGGTCTGAAAATGTTCCATGATAGCTTCATTACCAATACATGAAAAAACGTCTTTCTCAATGTAAACAACTAAGCTGTCACTCAACCATTGATCTCTCATTTTGTTGCGAAGTGGACCCTTAATGATATTCATAGCGGAAAATGCCCTCTCCACTGAAGCAGTTGCAACCGGTAAAACCAAAGCCAACTGAACAAGCAAATATACATATGCAAATGTTCGATGCAACCCTTTCTCCACCATTTTCTTAGCAAGCTCATTAATTCCCCGCAATTGAGAAAAATCATTATCAGAACGCACAAAATGAATGTAAATATCAAGTTGATCTTGAAGTGCCGATCTATCTCGATCCGTGAAATCTTTAGGATACATATGAGCAAGGCGAACAAGCTTCTCTTTATCAAAAGCTACAAATGAATCATTCGGACTCAAGCATGCCAAGCAAATAAGCAATTCGGTATTACCTTCAACGAAGCGATCATCTAATTCTGTAAGTTGGAAATCAATGACCTTGAAAAAGAGCTCCACTTTGTAATGATGATGATTGGTCTTTCTTGGAGCCTTACGCAATGACTTCCCTTGAATGACATATAAATCATCCATATTAGGCACCTCAATTTCATGTTCAACACAAAAAGATGATACTTTATCAACCAAAAGATCAAAATTTTCATCATTCCTCATGCAACGTAGTTGTTCTTTACATGTCTTGACTAAAGCCATTGCATTCACAATCTCTTGATCTTTTTTTTGCAATGCTTGTGACAAATCGTTTGTAACTCCTAATATGGATTTCATCAAAAAGTGGAGGAACACAAACTCAAAAGATTGTAAATCTTTTAATAACCTTTTTGCTTCACCAGCACTATCATTGTAGCAATCTTCAACAATCATGTCAAGCACATCCACCACAGATGAGAACATTGTAATCAAACTAATCAAAGCACCATAATGTGAATTCCACCGTGTATCCCCAGCACGTTTGAGACTAGTTTCTTGATTTAACCCTTGCCCCGTTTCAAGACAATCATTTTTAATAGCTTTCAAGAGATTTTCTTGTTGTTTCTCTCTAAGTGCATCACGATGCTTACATGAGCATCCAACAACATTTACCAAACTATTAGTCAATGTGAAAAAAGCGGCAACATCGGAGTTTTTCTTTGCTACGGCAACAAGAGCTAATTGTAGTTGATGAGCAAAACAATGAACATAGAATGCACAACTTTCTTCATCCAAAATTTTTCTTTTAAGGCCATTGAACTCACCTCTCATATTACTCGCACCATCATAACCTTGACCTCGTAGGTTGGAGTAGCTCAAATCATGTAGTTTCAAGAACTCATCAATGGACTCCTTTAGTTTACTTGAAGTTGTTTCGGCAACATGTTGGACTCCCACGAACCTTTCAATTACTTGACCTTTGTTGTCCACATAACGCAAAATCACCGCCATTTGCTCCTTTGTTGAAATATCACGTGATTCATCTACCATTATAGAAAAGAATTTACTCTCTTTCACTTCTTTCATAATAGCCTTAATAGTTTCGAAGGCACATGAATTGACAATATCTTTTTGAATTGAAGGAGCTATTAGCTTGAGATTTCCCGGAGCATTTTCCAACACAACTTCCTTTATTTTCTCATCATGATCCGCAAGGAATTGCAAGAGCTCTAAATAATTCCCCCTATTATTCGAAGTTTCACTTTCATCGCGGCCACGAAAAGGAAGGCCTTGTCGCAACAAGAACTTAGTACAATCTATTGATGCATTCAAGCAAAGACGATATTTCATACACTCTTCTTCTGATTGTTTGATCACAACTGCTTCAATATGTGTCTTTTGGTTCATTAGATAACTAGCCGCTTCTCTAGCTTTATTGTGGAAACTACCAATAGGACCAACATGTTTGTCAAAACATTCTCTTGCATTCTTCCATTTCTTAAAGCCTACCCCAGTGAAGGCATCGCTTCCTAATTGTGAAAAGTTGAATTTAAAGAGATAGCAATGAAGACAAAATGCCGCATCTTTAGATATACTATACTCCAACCAATCATATTCTTCAAACCACGAAACAACAAATCGTCGCTTTTTCTTTGCATGCAAAGTGTATGGGAACTCATACTTTGTAGGCCTACAAGGTCCCATTTGCAAATATGCTCTGCGGACCTCATCTTGAATATTAGAAGGATAGTCCTTCATTCGAATTCTTTTTCCCGGGTCTCTCTCAAGATTATTAAAATCAATGTCACACTCATTTTGTCTTGAGCTCGAACTACCCGAACAAGTAGATGGTGCTATTGGCTTTGGCTTGAAAAATCTTTCCATATTTCTTATTTCTAAACTACACATTTAACCAAAAACACAAAACATATACCAATCAACCAATAAACAAAAATTCCATCTAAATTTCAATTATAAAATGAGTATACTAACATAAAACATATCAACAATCATATCAATAATAGACTAAAAATCTCCACCAATATCTAATATAATTTAATTGAGATTAGATTAGAATACCAAAAACTTACTTGAATTTGGAACCAAATAGTGGTGGCTTGGAGAATTGAAACAAGTGGAGGTATAATATTGGAGTAATGTAATTATAATATGGGATTGGGTGGGATTAGAAATTTAGGGTTTTGGGTGAATATAAGAAAGATGGGGGGATTAGGGGGAAAAGCAGTGGAACGAGGAAAGGAGAAGCGAAAGGGACTCTCGGGACGGGAAAGATGGCCCATGTGGGGCTAGACTTTCAAAAAGATTATGTAATCATGTTGCAAACGGTGGACCAATTGCAAACGTTTGTCTCATTGGTTTAACAAAAAAAAAAAAAGGCCAAAACACTGCGTTTTGGACCAATTTTTTTAAATGCTCTGTTTTCTTTCTTCTCCCCTGTTGTCTTTTTCTCCGTTGCAACCTACAACCTGCTGCTGCAGCAACACAGACAGTCTGCACAGGCCTCGTGTTTGAGTACGAGGGGTCCTCCGGAAAATTTCTAGCAGCATTTTAGGATGGCCGAGGGGTCCTGGGACCTCCCAGGTCCCTCTTTAGATCCCTCTCTGTGCGTAATGATAAAGAGCCATCAACTGCTACAGAAGAAAAATGTTCCCATAGATCTGGACCATTCACCTTTGCTAGAAGAACTACAAGACCTCATTACCTACTTAATGTAAACTTTATCTGGTTATATAATTAGAACACAAATAAGGAGTTGGCTGACCTGTCTTGAAGCAATAGCCATTGAATACCAAGCAGAATGATGTAGGATGTGGCAACACCAAAGTCTTCTACAAAGCACCTAGCCTGATACAACTACTTTATGGAAAGCGTTTGTAGTGTCTAAGGTTTGCAAGGACCTTAGTATTTTTTTAGCCTATCAGTTGGGTATCATAATCACATAAAATCAAGGACTCCATCAATCTTACTTGTATTACAAGATACCTAATATAAGATTGATATCTTTAGGAAATCAAATCACAATATCTACATTAATCTCCAATATTAAATTCCTATTATGTGTTGTAGACCATTTAAGGTTGATTTACATCGGAATAAATCCAACACTTACATGAGGGAGGATAGATGGCAATGGTCTATAGCCTAGGAATCGAGTGGCTCACTTGGCGTCGATTGCTGTGAGAGCGGTGTTACTGTAAAGTTTGGCCGCCAAGCCACCACCTGTAAGTTTAAATAGAGCGGAAACAAAAGAACTCAACATATCCAATTAATCACTGACCTTGCGAAGTCATTGCTGCAGAAAATAGGGGTTTTTTCTCCTCTCAACACTATCTGTATGCACTATCAATCAATGGGGCTTGATCTTTCTATTTGCGTGTATTTGTTAGAGCAGAGACCCTTTATTTATAATGTAAACAGTGGCCCTTGCCAAGGATACTTCCCATCATGTAATCCTTCTCAAAGTCATCAACTTTGATAACCCTTATCACTAATATCCAAAGCATCCATATCAGAATGGTTAACACCAATTCAACCAAGACTTCTTTAGGTTATATTTTAGTCTTTATACATTCCTTAATAACCAACAAGTATTGTCATACATAAACTCTTATGATCTCAATCCCTCATGCACGTGCTAAACAAGTGTGCGGCTCTCAGTAAGCTTACACCACCCTCTTAGGTCTTTCTCTTAATTTGTTCTAAATATTTGTAATTGGTTTAGATTGACGCTGTTGGTTATGTGCAATGCACTGCGGACTCAACCATTTCATTTCGTTATGATGAGAAAATGTTAAATAGGAGATATTATAAATGCATTACAAAAGCATGTGAGAAATTTTGTAAATTTGGACGAAGTGTTGAAAGAAATAAAAACCAAGAAGATGAATAAAACGTCGTTTCATGAATTTCTGTGAGTATCATAATTCAACAACACTGAAAGATTATTATTGAACTAGACATTCATATGAGAAATAATCATTAATTCATCATGGTCTTCTGTTCCCCCTTTCTCTCAAGCCTGCCACTGATTATATGATAGCTAGAGGCAGGCAATTCACTCAGCTTCCCAAATTTGCCTTCGTATGAATCCAAAAGCTCCGACCTGAAAAACCAAATCGCGGGGTTTTAAATTTATTGGAAAATAAGAACATTTTTAAGACACATTACATAAACCACTCACGATGAAAGCTTATTTTATCTTCTTTTATTAACTTAAACAAACCAATAACAAAACAAATAAAAAGAAAAATTCATAATAAACCCAAAATAACCAATTATAAAATAAAATAATAATAAAACCTATTAATCAAATAGTAATAAGTAACATAAAAATTTGGGTTTTTACATACTTAATAGTCAACATTCAAAATTAGACAGCCTAATTAAGCATCTTGTATGCTACATTATATCTATATTTATGGTTTATGCATACACTTACAAATATGCCAGGCACTGGAACGGTGCATACTTGCCATAAATTTCTTCCACATCTTTTCCGGCGCTTGTTTTGTCACAATCCTTCCTCCCATGAACCTGAAAAAAAGAACGATTCGTTAAATTAAAATAAAAGGAAAAAAGAGGTAACTAACGGGATGGCCAGCTACCGCAAGAGTATATATATGTAAGTAACTAGCCTGCTGTAGGTGCCTTATAGTTTCAGTATCTGTTGGCACTTTATGATAATATCCCATGCACATGAGTACATTGGCGCATGAAAACGAACCAAACCCTTTGATTTCCTTTAACTTCTGAAACAAGTTGTCGACGCCAATGTCAAGGGATTCTTGAAACCCCAGTTCAGCATCAAGTCGCATGATCTTGGCAAGTTTCAGAATGGTGTTCGCTCTGTAGCCAAGAACGCTAGTACTGCAGTTTTGTAAAGTATCCAGATCAAGTTCTGCAAGTTCTTGTGCGCTTGGAAAGTTCCCAAATGAAGATCCATCGTCACTGAATTGATGGTTAAGTTTGCATGCCGACCACGTGTTAGTTAACATTTCTCGCTTTCTCTTTAGGTTGATTGGCTGCTTTTGCTTTGCCGGAGCATTATTGTTATTGCATACTTGAGAGTGAAGCTCACAAAGGGATCGAGCCATTTGTAATGTATTTGACCACCTGCGCACATATTGCCAATTGGGGATTGAAAAAATTAGTCACAATCACGTATAAAATTTCACTCCAACACCAGAGACTTTGAAATACACATGCGCGCATATATATGTGTGTGTGTATTCTTTTGCAAAAGTGTTTTTAAGTTTCCCTCTTGTCTGAATGACAAGTTTGAACAAAATTATTATAGTAACTCTATTGTGTAGCTTTGTTCAAATTCACAACTCTTTACTATAATTATAGTCATTGTATTAAAATAAAATAAATTAGTTCAGTAAAATATGTCGGATTGGAAGAGTGGAGAGATTTCTTTATGTGCCCATAATATGAGTTGGTAGATCATGCGTTATAATATAAGTGAAAAAAAAAAATTATTTTTTGTTAGTGACTCTCCATGTGTTATTACACTTTAAGGGAGGTGGATCTGGTAGATTGACGAGGGAAAAAAGTTAAGTATTGTAGTTAAAAGTTAATAACTCAAAACTCAAAAAACAAATTCAAAAACTTGTGAAAACAAACTCAAAACTTGCAAAAACAAACTCAAAACTCTCAAACCCTAAACCCTACATGATCATAGTATATATTATGAGAATATATGTAGTAGTGGATTAATATTACTTGGTGTTACAGAGGAGAATACACTTGACAAGGTCTTCAAAAAGAGTAGGGGACCGGAAAACTCGACCATAGCCCTTCTCCTTCGCTTCCGGATGCACTTCGTGATACTCCCTTACGGCCCTTTCATCTTTCTCCGATATCCTTAGCATTCGACGCACTTGTTGCAGTATAGCATCCTTATCTGCAAATGAGAGGTTATGAATGTGATCATAGACTTGAATAAGGAGAGAGGTGTGGTTGGGGGGATGTTGGATTGAAACGGTGATGCATGTGGCAGAGTCTGCAAGTCTTAGCGGGCGTTCGAGTGTTTTTGAGGACGGAATCCATCGGTTTGGAGCCATCATGAAGAAGCCATGGTTGCATACTGCTTTCTCTAGGTTAAAAGTGGACATACATTCTCCCAAAGGCAACGACAATTCTTCCACTCTCACGTTTTTCCTACTTCTTGTATGCATATTCAAACAAGTATAACTTATAAGAGGATGGATGTACCCTAGCTTAGCTTGGTCTGGACCCCGTATATATATATATATATACACATATATATACATATATATGTAATATGAAGTTAAGAAGGATAGAATAAATTTGGAGGGAAAGTAGAAAATAGTAAATAGGAAGAAAAGAGAATTAAATGTCGGTATTAATATGAAGTAGTGGAATGGAAGGTAGGCAGGCAATGTATCAAACCAGAAGTTTATTAGTCCTAGGTAGCATTACTTCTCCCTTACTCCTTCATCTCCCCTTGATTCTTAAAATAAAGGAAAGGGCTGCCATATTAAATGAAATGAACGAGTGAATGGTATATATCATAATAATTAGGGAGGGAACATAATACCATCGGAATCGGAGTCGATGGAATTTAGAAGCAGTAGTTGCAGTTGGAGTTAGGGTTATCCCTCCCTAAATTTTAAACCCTAAACCCTTGGCGGTGGTCAGTAATACAATTTCAACCAATTTTGTTCGAAGAGAATTCCGTAATTCGAAGTATAATATTATGTACTAAGATATATATTTTTGGCTTGTATGTGAGACGTGATTGGTTTTCTGAGAAGACCCGACCTGTCTCTGTCAACTCCCCCAGCCCTAAACCTTACACCCTAAACCCTTAAACCCTAAACCCTAAACCCTAGACCTGGTATTGCACATTATTACAGCGAACCGAAGGAGCCAACCAAACCCAACCAGGTCGGTCTTAAGTTTGTTTTCATTATATTTGATATTGCAGGCAAGATTCATCCTTGCTTTGGCGTCCTAATGGTTATAGTGACTTCTTTAGGATTTCACTTCAGTACAAGAGTAACAAACTCTTTCTGCATCCATCATTAGCTCATATGTGATATTGGATCAACAGATAACCCATCGTCTTTTCTTAAACAGCACTGTAACATCAATAATCAATCAATTATCATCACAATATGTAGATGTAGACGAGGGTCCATTTAAACATGTCTCCACCAAACACATATGCAACAATGTTTGTGTAACAAAAAAAAATGTGGAACCTTGTAAATACGCTTCATATCAGTTGTCACAATGTCATAACCTAAACACATGACATAGATATGTGTCCACCTGTGGCTGTGGATCATTTCATTTGCCATGTCATCGAAAGATAAAGTGCATCCTAGCAAAAGGGTCTTAACCTATATATTACCTTCAGCGGTATATCAACATTTGCGCCACATTTCACTTAAGGTCGGTATTAAATTAAAGGATCAATCTTCTTGCTATAACAGAAAGACTTGTCGGAAATCTGGTTGGTCCAGAAAGGCATGGGAGTTTTGGGCGTACTTTCTCTCACTCAGGTTAGAAGCAGGTCTCACTGGTTTAGGAGCTGGAACGGTGTTTTCAGGCAGCAGCTTTGTAAATGCTATACAACATCTAAATCCTAAGGTACTTGCTAGTCTAGAATCATCCTAAAACATGAAACAAGGATGATATTCCATACAGTGATTTCCATCTTCTGGTAGCTGAGGGGCTGGTGGAGTCAATAGTTTTGGATTCTGCTTCATGACATTCATGGAATTTGATATCTCACTCAGCTTCTGCTCTGTTGTAGACTTCCAATTAAACAGCTCCTGAAACATTTCCTGTCAACAAGGAGATTTTAAATGAGGCTTTGTTTACATCATTAAGAAAACTTAAAATGTAAAAACTCAACATATCAAGTCCTCTATTAATCTGTTGTCATCGTGTCACCTGAAACACAACCAGATTGTCAAGATCCGACTTTGAATTTGCAGTAGCAGAAGAATCAGGGGTCAAATTAGCTTGATATTCCCTTTGCTTCTCCGGTACCAGCTCGCGCACATCTCTGTTTCTAGCAGCAAAATCACAACTCATCTCAGCTTAGTCATAACAAATTTTTTATGGTCGAGGTTTTACTTTTTATTTGTTACCTCTCCATTTCAGCCATTTCTTCCTTGAGTTTGCAAAATAGGTCCTGGGATGAGCTATCACCATGCTTTGAACTAAGCGGTAGGGCTAAATAGGGATCTTGAATTATAACTTCTTCCTCAGAATTAACAAGATTGTTGGTGCTCTCAAACCATGGCACAAGTTCATTTCCCTGAAAACTGTCAAGGTTGCTGCTCTCTAGCCAATCTTCCCATTGCTCAGGTTCTTCAGGCTTGGAGACAGTGTTTTGCTTTGGTCCTTGCATATCACTCAAAATATTTGTTATTTCCACCACCTGTCGCTCGACTTTAGATTTCCATTTCTTTAATTCCTCAAAATTGTCCTGTAGAGAACAAAAGAATATGAAATTTCATAACAACCAAGCTGCCACAAACTTACGAGACACAACACATTCTTCTTGTCCAATAGTAATTGCATTTTGCAAAACATGAAAGAACAATTAACTGGCATTTCCATTTTCGGTTTTATCTTCCAAAGAAACATACATTGAATCAGCGATGATAATCTACTGTTTATATACCTGCATACCCTTCCAAGAACCTAAAATCACTTTCAAGCTTTGCTCAGACTGAGCTTTCCATTTTGCCAAATCCTCGAGCCTCTCCTGTTGGACAAACACTGAGATTGAGGTCTCATCCAGCAGTAGTCTAATATCGAATTGTAATGGAGATAAAATATTGTTTAACATTCAACTCAACTTGATTGGCTTGGTCATTTTCTTGCTTCTGGGATAAAAGCAGCTCCTGGATATCACTTTTAATAAAAAGAGACAGATTATTTATCAGCACATATATCAGTTACAAGTTTTTTTATAAAGATTCTATATACCTCTTCATTTTATCTACTTCTGCCTTGAGTAGCTTCAGTTCTCCACCAGAAACAGAATCGTCCAAGGGGCCACCACCTGGCATCAACGTCGATGATGGAATCCAGTAAGGATCATGCACCCTAGCCTCCCGCCGAATGTTGGCCAGGTCAGCACTCTCCAACCAGTACTCCATTCTTCCACTGGTGTTGAACCACCGCCGAAACCGCTCGGTCCCACCTGGTGCCACTTTACCATCAACATGCTTCAGTAAGTGATCGAGCAGCCCAGTATCACCAATCCGCTTACGAGCTGCCATCCTCAATTCTCTCCTGGAAACTGGGTTTCCAAAAGTTGCATCTTCAGCCTTCAAAATTTCCAGCATAGCTTGCTCTGCTCGCTTATACCTGCATATATACTTAATTTGTTGTGATATCAAAACGCCCTACGAGCAGAGTAATCTACGAAAAGGTGATCTGGGTTTTACCTTTCAACTGTCCATCTTTCAATCGCATTATTACACTCCTTTGTCATACCCTTAGAACTACTTGGCCTCTTCTTATAATGTGATGCTTCCTTCAACTCTTTCAATTCACTGCAGCTAAGGCGCCTCCTCTTCTTGATCTCTGGTATCTCCAGGGGTTCAGTTTTCACAGCTTTCACTTCTTCCTCACTGATGCTGGATGAAAGTTGAGTTTTATTTTCTTCATGTCTTCCAAGGAAGACAATTCGGTAACGAGTACCCCACTGTGCCATCTGGGTGTCTCCTAGCTGAAACCAGTACAATATCTCTGCGCTTTGTCAGTCACCTACAACTTCAGTGATTTGAACAATTAAAAATCCAATTAAACTACAAGTTAAGTTTCTAAGAAAAAGAAGTTGATTGGTGTGATTCTAAAAGTCTAAACATGAATCAATTTCTGTTCAACAAGAGCTAAGCTAGACAGCTTATTAGGCGAACCCTTCATCTACCAACTGTCTTCTGAAACTTATGGTCCGCCAATGGAAAAAGATATGGATGCAACTGATTACTTGATTCAGTTATGGTGTAAATGCATGAACTTGGAAAAAGAAAAGCCACATTTCCTAGCAATTTAGATTCTGCAGTTGACAAACCATTTCTTAGATGGTAATCACCAAAACAATTGACCAAGTCCAGTTCATTAGCTCCCAAACCACACCCATTTAAGAGCTTGGCACAGATTAAATTCTGCAACTTACTACCTATGCATTACATTTAGGAAATTTTAAAATATTCATCTTACTATAAGTAACCGCTATGCCTATCCCTCTATCTGAAAGCTATAGGTTCCATATCTCAGATTAAGGGTATTACATTAATTAATGATGAAGGGGCAGTGCTTTATTCTCCGGCGCAACTGCGTTAGAGCATCATTCGTATTCGTATAATCAGGAACCACCAACAAATTACAAAATGCGTTATAATGGCAACTATATATCTGCAAATAACATAACAAAATAGAAACCCCTAAACCCGCCCGCCTCTCACCATCCCACCCCGCCCCCAAAAAAAACCGGGTTAGAAAATAACATCGAAACCATCCATTTTCAAGGTTTCTTTTTCTTTATTGTGGTAATTCAAAAATGGATTTCTCTTCTGTTTTGTCTTCGTTACCAAACACAACGTATGACAGATTCTTAGATTTAAAAAATAAATAATAAAAAATTCAGAAATTTGTTATTTTGGGAAAACTCTGAAGTTGGACGGACGGACGAACAAAGAAGCCAGAGTCCGAGACAGAAAGAGGTGAAAAAGGGTTTTTAGGAGACAATGTGGTCCATTTACCATCCATCAATGAAATTGAAAGCCTAAATTGCACATAAAAATAATAACCATCATGCATGAATGGTGAAACCCCCCACCAGTTCTTCATTTCGGTGTTCGCGGTGGGTGTCATCGCGCGAGAGAGAGAGAGGTTTCGTTTCGTTTACCTGAGTATTTTCGGGCAGAAATATGGAAGCAGGAGTTGGAGCTGAAGCAAGTGTGCAGGTGCCTCCTCAGCCCTCCCCGAGGAGGAATGCAAGCAAGAGGAATAAAAATTAGACAAAGCTCGGTCTTGGTCACTTCTCCTAAAACCCTAACCGCCAAATTCCCCTTCTATTCTTTCTAAAATAATTAAAAACCCAAACATGACGCGTGTTGTTTGTCCCACGCATAAATCGAAAAATAAAATAAAGTAGTTGAACATTTGATGAAATGTATTTTTAAAAGCGCTCGATATAAAAGATAATGTAAAAGTATTTGGTAAATTTTATTGTAAAAATAATAACAAAAATGGACATGGTAGTGAGATGGCGGCGATGACAACAGTGGTGGTGGTGATGGTGACGGTGGTGATAGTGGCGGCAATGGTGATGGAAGCAAGGGTTTTATGGGGGTGACAAAAGTGGGGTATGGTGGTTGGGGTATAGAGTTAACAATAGCAATAAGTGCAGCGATAGTGGCGGTTGTATTTGTGGTTGTGGTGGCAGTGGTGGGAACTGTGGTTATGATGGTGGCAGCTAAGAATTAAAAGAAACACTTTTTTATGCTCCAAATTTGACTTTTAAATTGGCTGCGCACATTAAACAGCATTTTTTTTGGACGATTACAGGACATTTATTTTCCCATACGACATCAAATTGGCGCAATGTCAGTTGCGTTGGACTCCTTTCAACATCCCAGATGCCCTAGTACTATTAGATTTTCCCAATTCTTAGCGGATTGGCACAATTTTATCAAAATACTGAAATTACCCTTTGGGGTCAACCAGTTGGCATATTTTTAGAAATATATAAAAGACAGAGGATCTGAGAGGTCGATACAAATCTAGCACAACAAACAGAACGCCCATCGAAGATCGTATGAAGTTCTCACAAATTACCAATGTATGACATTCTTAGACTGTCATGAATTTCTGGATGGAAGAATTACATGTGATTCCTAAAGATGGGTGGATCCACTCTTGGACCCAAGTGATCACGAGACCACCCGGATGTCCGAAAAAGTTCCTATGAGAACCTTCGAGGACCACCCAACGGTCTGGACATTTGGTGGAAGAGAGAAACCATCATAGCTCCGCTATTCTTGAACCTTGGTTACAACGAAGAAGAAAGACTTTTCTCGCCATTTCCCACATAACAAACTCTCATTATTTTAATTGTTGTCCAATCACATTGTGTCACCCTAGCATTTTAATTAGCAAAGGAATGGTGTTTTTTTTTTGTTTTGAATAAACAATATTATCCTAGATCCGCCTAATGTCCATTAGTTAGGACCACCCAAAGTTATAATCCTAGTTCCGCCACTAATTCCTAATACATTGTGGCTTGTTGTGGCTTTCAATCCCCAAGCAGAAAAAGAACGATCTCCCTATTTGAGCACTATAAATAGACCAAAACCGTTCGTATAGTGGTTCTTGACATGACTTTGGCATCCTCGACTTCATTCACTTTTTCTTAATGTGCTCCCCACACACGAAGTGAAAAGTTCACAAAAGTCATAGAGTAGTGAGGTTTTCTTAATGATAATTTTGCGAGGTTTGGCATGTCAAAGACATGTCATGACACGCATTATGCCGATTACAAGTATGTTCGCATGACTTAGGACCCCAATCTTAGACGATCCACTATTGGCATCCATTCATCATCTAAAAACTCGCAAACTATAACAACGGGGAGCATATTGTGCAAGGAAAATGTCGTTAAAAATGAGAGTACACATGTTTTGCTAGGTTTTCATGACATGTCACAATGATTCTTGAACACACTGGGACATGCCATTGACAATGTGCATAGGTAGCCATAGCCTCGCTTGTTGTATGCTTAAAGCGAGGCTAGACACCTTTTGACATGTCATCGAAAAGTGCATGGGCTATGCTACCCTCTCTTGTTGTCGACATAAAGCAATGATATATGTCAAAATATATGGCAAAACTAGAGTCCCGACATGACTTGGAAAAAAACCATGGCAGATTTAAAGTCCTGACATGAATTTGGTAGCCAACTTTTAGATCAATAAACGCCTTTGCACAATTGTTGGATAGGCCAAAGTGTTTGCAAATTTTGTGCCCAAATGTTGACTAATAGCCTTGCCTCTCGAAACCTGAGTAATTTAAAAAGGTTGTGGGACAAAAAGGGAAGGGACGAATCGAAGTGACGCATGGCTGAACCTCAGTGGATCGTGGTAGCAAGGCCACTCTGCCACTAACAATACCCCATCGTGTATTTAAGTTGTCTGCAAAGGATGGCAGCAACGATGGCAGCGGTTGTGGTGGTTATGATGGTGGTTGGTATAATAATGTGGTTATAGTAGTAGTGATGTAAGGTTAGTGATTGTAGTACTAGGTAGTGGTGGTCACTTTGTTGTCCAAGAAATAAAGTGAGTATAGAAGGTTAAACAATGTCAATTCAAAAAAAAAAAAAATTAGGGTATTACAGGAATTAAAAATATCCATTAAAGACTCAACTCTGCTTTTTTATTAAAGTTCCTATCTAAAAATCATTACTTTGAAAATAAGCATTTTTACCAAACACTTTTTATTGCTTCACTTTCAAGTGAAGCAATTTTTGGTAAAAAAAGCAGTACCAAATAGTCTAGTCATATTCATGTTCTCTCATAACTCATAAGTAAAATATCTTGAATTTGAATCTCATGAATAGCGAGAGAAAAAGAAAATAGAACAGTTACGTCAAATCAGAGTAATATTAGCTGTGGAACCATGATTTTCAGAGCCAGAGTAAGTGGATAAGAATAAAGTTATCTCAAAAATTTGGCCATGGACTCAACTGCTCCAAGCGGAGTTAGATTAACGGAGCAGTGGTGCCACCATCATCCTGTTTCAGAGCAGGGGGCGAAGTTCGACCGACTTCACTGAGAATGACCATGCTTGTTCTACAAGACATGAGATCTGACCTGATATGGACTCAACTAGATCCTTTATATAGCCTGGAGTTCCTGCAATCTAGGAATTGGTATGCACCACAAGTAATCACATTCCTAAAGAGGATACAATATCTACTTATAGATATCCTCTAGGATTCTCCTAACTTATAACAAAGATTCTATCCTAAAAAGGTTTCTCTCCCAACTAGTATAAATGCACCTAGCTAGGGTTCGTCTCTGGTAACGTAACATCATACTTGAATTCTTTTGCCTACTGCTTAAGTCTTATACTTTCTTACTAACTTGATTGTCGAATAGCCTTTTGCTGACACTCTCTTTCCTTCCCCCCTCTCTGGCCAGTTATAGGCTTGCTCATGGTTGTTTGTTTTACAAGTTACTTGGTTTGTGTCTCCACCACTCACAGTGGTACGCGAATTTGGTTCCAACAGTTGATGGTTTCAATGAGTGTGAACTCATATTCCTCTAGACCCAATCACTCTACCACAAGGATGACTGTTGAAGAAAACTCTATTAACACAAACTTTAACCCCATTATGGGAGACAATCTGCTCTCTGATGCATCCGCCACCCTGAGGATGGATAACTAGCTCCCTAATGCCTCCATCACCCTTGGAGCAAGTAACAACCCTTTGGAAATAATGACCATGCTCGGATATAATGAGAATCCAATTAACAAGCCCCTTGATGAAGATTATCACTTTTCTTGACAACTTAAGGAAGACTCAGGTGGCTTCTTGGGCTAAGAGCCATTCCAACTTCATGGACATCAAAAAACACATGAAGAACTTAGAAAAATTAAGTGGGAAAACCCCTCAAACTCAGTTCCCCTTCTTCAGCTATAGGAACATAAGTACCATAATCCCTATGAGAGAGCTCATCGTATCGACCATTACTCCAACCCTAGCAGACATCACTGATCCGAGTAGGGGCTCTTCGCATAGGTAAATGGCTAACATTGCCTCTGGAAATAGGCTTCGAGCCTCTCAGAATTTCCCTCCCCTAAATACTATAGAGAAATTACCCCATTACTTTTTACTAGGAAAATATCATCCGTATCTAATAGTAATGGTGACTTCAACCAATTCCAACTTGATCTGCATTGAAATTTTGATCAAATACTTCTTTCTAAGCCAATCCAGGGACTTTCCTCGATACACCTTATCAACAACTTTATACATTATGCGCCAAGATGTTATACAAATTCAAACTTGATACTTATAGACACATTTTACATACAAAAAGATCTGTCATAATTCTGTTACCCTACTAATGTTCCTCTATCTTTTATCTAACCAATCAATCAAATAGAGTCACATCAAATTGTTCATTTCAAGCATCCCTGATATTTTCTAATGATGCCCATACCACGTGCCCCGTCTGCAACATCTAGATGATTCCCACTGGCAGTCATATATTTCTCTGAATTTTCTTTAAAACAATCTTTTGGTCATAGGATCGGCCACCATCTTATCTGAGGGTTGTGGTCAACTTTTCTTCATCCATCTCCACTATAATTCCATATTGTGATACATGATGAGTAGATTCATATTATATATTTACCATATTCTTACTATATGATAGGAGCATATTTAGGCAACTTAGTTGGCTTGTTCTTGTGCATTTACGTTGTTATTTCTTAGTTCTTTAAGTCTTTTAAGTTATTTTCGTATGTTTTCAGGTTCTAAGGGCTAAAGGAGCAAAGAAGTGCATTTTGGAGCCTTTTGGAGCACTTTTGGGCTAAGGATGTATAGCTTATGCTTGGAGCCAAAGTGTTGGACGAAATTGAAGGCCTTGTATGCACTTTAGGACACAAAACAAAGGGCCTAGCCCACTCTAACACCATTGCCGTAGCCTTCCCCCTCCATCACCACCAATTCCAGCCCGGCCTAGCCCACTCTAACACCATTGCCGTAGCCTTCCCCCTCCATCACCACCAATTCCAGCCATCTTCCACACCTTTCCCACTTCATCATTCAGCCACATGCTCTCCCATTCATTCACTCTTTAATCATTAAGCCACATGCACTCTTCATCATTCAGCCACCATCCCTTTTTCCCATATTTTGCCGCAGCTATCCCCCTCCATTCCAGCCATTACCCACCTTCCTACAACTTTGCCGCAGCCTTCCCACCATTCCCCACTCCATTCCAGCTTTCCACCAACCTAGCCGCACCCTTTAATCACT